AAGGATTCAAGGGAAAACGATCATTGTTAACATGTATTTCTTCGATCAGATGGATATATTTCGTCAATGTGTTTAGAAAATGTAGATAATTTAAAGAGCATAATAATTAATCTTAAAGTATAATAAGATATATTTTTTAGTTTTGGTTGTTTGGTTTCTTAGCTTTTGGCAGTAAATATCGATGACATAAGGAGTAAAGATTTGTGTGACAAATGGTGGCATGCGAGTCCACACAGGACAAACTCATCCCTCCCGTTCGCAATTGATTTTTTTACTCATAGCATGTTTCATCCTTTGGGGAAATTGATGTTGATTGTCGCTGTTTTAGACACTAATACGAACGTTGCTTACCCGTAGATAACTGTGATTGTAACATGAGCTGTCTTTCCATCCAAGGAACACCTTATATATATATATATATATATATATCAGCAAATAATAACTTTTCAAAATCTGTTTCTTGTTTGTATTTTCATACATTTGACTTCATGAATTACTGCTGATACATTAACTGTCGAAATGCGTCTCTGTTGCAGTAAAACTGGTACCGTTCATGTGAATATATCACTTCTTATTCAAGTTTAATATGTTTGCTATTTATTCATAGTTATTTGAACTGTTACATTTCCATAACTGGCTTATCAAAATGTGTATCCAAACTTTAAGGTAGTCGTTCAGATTAATTTCTTAAGGTTTTGTGTTATCCCATCGAGCATATCCTGGTAATCTAAATTACTTAAGATTTTCCAGAATATAACAATTTCTGGAAGATATAGGGTGAGTTTAATGGGTTAAAAACAATTATAACTTTTTATATCTTTTTCGGCAATCGTGGATCCGTTTGTTTCGATAATTGGTTATTCTTGTAAATAAAGTACTTTCAGCAAAATCTCTGAATGTACGGTCCGTGTACGTTCGTTTATTCGTTTTGACAAATCACAAATGTAAAACAAAAAACGAAAGAGTTTTCGTTTTAAGTTTTCGATATCTTAAAACCAAACTTGAAAAACGAAAGTGTTTTCGTTTTTCGTTTTTGATATCTTGAAGCATAAAACGGAGGTGTTTTCGTTTTTCATTTTTGATATCTTGAAACATAAAACGGAAGTGTTTTCGTTTTGATATAATAAATAAGGCGTAAAACGACATTTGATTCAATTTCTCTATATAGTTCTGATCATTTATCATTTGAAAATTGACAACGTCTTCATTTTTTTGTTTTGATTCATCGTCATGAGGATATAAATATGTCAACGTAGTTCGGTTTCGTTCAGGCAAACGTAACACATGATATGCAAATTTGATCTAAACAAAACATACTGCCAGACTTATAAATTAATATGAGGTGATATATGATACAAAGACTTTTAAATCACTATCACTTAATTTTTATCAATAATCATAGGTTGGTAAGTAACTGATAAAGTAAACTGAGCAGTTACCAGATCCATATTATAAAGGGGAAGGATGAAAAATACTACAAAAAATAATAATTCAATCGCTGGAACTAGTAACTGTTGAAAGGTCGGAGATATATTATTATTGAAATAAATGACTAACGTCCATTAGCCAATATTACACGCATATTCAGAACAATAATATGTCACATGTATATACAAATGCGTTATTTGTTTTTTCTGTGGAGAACTCAGTCCGTTGATCTCCATTTGTATGGGAGAGGAGAAGAGTTCGTCGAACTGAGTGGTTCGGGTATGTTCTTCTGTATTTATTAAAGAATCATTCCATGGTCAATTGCAAGTTTTACAGTATAAAATTTATACAATGTTCTTATATCATGAAAAATACATATGGCAAAATTGAATAAGTTGTTGTATGTCATTATCACAGTACAATACAGACTGATACATCAATAAAGGCTGGTTACTAAGTATACAAGGAAATGTTAACAAAGGCCGTGCTCTATCTGTTTCCCTTAAAAAAATACTATTTTGTAGGTAAGAGAGTAGGCACTTTCTCCATAAGGGTTCGTAGATGAGTAAAGTTCCGTCTCTTGGTAAGTTAGGAGAAGCTCCAAAGTTAACTTTCATAAAAAAATTCAATTTTTGAATTAAAAGACATTTCAAGGGTATAACGTTCATCATTGATACGGACATTATCAAACGTTTTAATTCGCAAAACACAAAACAAGTTAAACAAAAATGACTACATAATTTATTACACATAACGATTGTCTTCCTATATTTTTCTTTTGGCCTAACATTTTAAAAATCTAAATTGTCGCATTTTAGGCAATCAAAATAAAGCAGTTAAACAAACTTAATCAAGGAATATTCAAATAAACTAGACTAAAGTTTAATAGACTAGTACGTATGTCTCCCTTTCATCTATAAAAGTCGTAAAGGAGAGGCCAAACAAAAGTCGTTATAGTAGTTGATGGGTATTTTCATGATAAATAAGAAAATATTTGCTTTTTGGCAGAGAAACTAAGGTGTATTGAAGATATATTAAATGAGTAATGATATTAGAGAGCGGGACATGATAACAATACGAGCATTATATGAGGACACTAAAAAGTTATTATTGTGGGGGAAATTAAGAATATATTAATGATAGGGATAACATATTGGTAGTCTTAAAATGGTAAAGGAATGATTTGTGAATCATTCCACAACACAAATTTAGCACACACACAAAAAAAAATCACAAAAAAGAAACATAGCTTTTTTTGCTGTTTTCCATCTCGTACACAGTCATTAGACCCTCACTGTTAGTTGAGGAAAATGAAATATTACAAATACTGTCAAAATTTCCCGACAATCTCATTGTAAAATACAAAAAAGAATACAAACATTTAGACAATTAAGGGGCACGTCCATTTGTTTCTTTGATATATAAGTATAACAAAAATACCGAACTCCAAGGCAACTTAGATAAAAAGATAACTTCGATACGTAAAGGAATATTTGTTATATACAAATGGTGCACTAGAAAAGGTCTAAGTACGGCAGTTTAGATTATATCTTTGGGTTAGGGTTGGGGTAGCTGAACCCATTTTTTTTATATTCGTTATCATACGAGGTTAGATTGTGTATTTTTTGTCACGAACACAACACATTATTTTGAAATAATACAACAAAGTGCCAACAAAAACAGCCTATGTCAAAGGATAAAAAGTTATATTACGGATATCTAAAGTCTAAAGTAAAGGTCTCACGAGGGTCACGATGATATACTAAACACAGTTTCAAGGTATATGTATTACAACTAGGAATATCACTTAAGTATCTTCCGCCTCTCTTTTTGCATGCAAAAAATCATAAGTCAATGTTAATTGATACAAAAATATTTGTTTCGGACAAGATTGTATAAGAAGAAAAATAGACGGCGAATTACTACTACTAAAACAACACAATGTCTATCTTCGTTGAATGGGAGACTTCATGTATAAAAGAATAAATAAACCAATAAAAATGAGTTACATGTTTGTAGGATATTGGCAGAAAAGTCTCCGTAACCCCATGCTTGAGAGAAAAATCCAACGATATATTTGCACCCATCCAGAACCCAAATATGCAGTAAGATACCTTGTGGAACCCTATCTGTTTTTTTTTCTGATACAGCCTTAATTGAATGATTGCCTGGTCATCATCAATCAAAATTTATTTATTCAAACATTTACAGCAACATGTCACCTAAACCGAAATGATCCTTTTTTCGGTTGTTTTCTCTTTGACTAATACCCTAAATCTTCTTTATAAGAATAAAACGAACTCTGCATAGGATTCTTGTGTAACACAGAAAATAGAAAAATCTTATTTTTTTCTAGATGCGGTATCGTAATACGAAAACTATGTTGCACGGTCCTTACATGACCCCTCACATTATACTAAGTGAACTAGTACACAGGCACTTGGGGCATGTACCCACTCATTATCTATTTGGTGTTTAAGAAGTTTAGTAAATTATCTAAAAACAAATAAACATATCGACTGTGTATTGCTCTTATCCACACACTCTTACAATAACATTATTTTATATCCACAGTCTAGTATTTCTATTTTTAGATCACGTTTCTACTGTTATCGTAGGATCGTATGAATAAGAACAAGCACACATTCGATAGATTTAATAAGTGTTCAAAAGATCTTAACCATCCCCCCCCCCCCCAAAAAAAAAAAAAAGATGGAGATACATGCCACTACCACCTGTGCTTTGGCTATTCATGTGCTTGAGTTTGATCCAACGGCATGCCAAAATACAGTTTAAATGCATTTCTGCTTGTCCAGCAAGTTTATAAATAAATATAATAATATACTGATATGTCATAAAGCAGACCCAAAATAAACAAAACAGATCTCGAATAAATGGGTCGACATCATAAGACATTAAAAGAAAAGGACCAAAACCAATAAGTCTCACCACTATATAGATTTGTACTTTGTGACTTTAAAGCAACGAGGAATATGCATTGTTCACATGACTTTCGATCAGGTTGAAATATGTATGAAAACCAAAAGTATTACGTCTCCAATCTCTAATCAGAAGCATTCAATTACCCAATCAAAGATTAGTCCAATATACTTTTTAAGTGTTTGCGTGATTATTTCTAAATTTCACATTTCTTTTTCTTTTTGTCCTTCTTAAATCCTTGATCATAACATTTATACCGAAAAAAAAGTAGTTTTTACAAACTATTTATGTGGTTTAATGTAAAAAAATAAAACGTTTTTCTCATAAAGTGATATATAACATCCCAGTCTCTAGTCGGGAAATGGGCGAATACTGAATTAGAAGTAACAATGGTTTACCGAGACTCCAATCTTATAAATCCAGAAAGAAGATACAAATCAATGTGAAAATATCAAATTTCTCTCTGGTCCCATTACTTTTCAATCAAATTATTCTCATTTGGCTGCAAGTAAGATAGGAAGCAAACATAACTATGTATGTGGTATTCTTTGTTTCGAGTTTATTAGGATAGATGCAGTTAACAAAGTTTCATAATATTGAATTACTAGTATTCAATAACAAAATAAGCGTGATTAATATATTGATATAGCAAAAGCAAGTCTTTATTTATATTTCAATTAATGACAAACATTTTACTTTGTACAAACGACACAAAGAACATCTACTTCATTTTTATACGGAGGACATCTTAAACTGCCACATTTGGTTCGGAGAGGATAAAATAAAGCTCCGTTTTCATTTCCATTCTTATTGTCTAGCGGTTCAGCATTGATATCAACACAGGCAAATTCTTTTTTGTTGTATATTACATGATCACTCATCAGATAACCATTGTATTCCGCGTTCCATCCCTTATAACACGTCTTTCGACCTAAAACAAAATGATAAGTAAGTATTATATTGGATTGGTAGCTATTGTAAGTAGAAATGTATAGTTAGGATGATCAGCTTGCGGTTTGTATGTATTTCCTAATTCGTTTCCATGTTATTTTCATTTTATAACTAATAGGTTGAACAACGTAAGTACACCCTTAAAACATTTGTTGTTTTAATGTTTACTACATTTAGTTATGCTCACCAAGTAAACACGTTTTTTCCTTAGAAATTTACCCGACATTAGAAAGTTATACGAAAAGATATGTTGTTGTGTTCCTAAACGTAAATTAAGAGTATGTTGAGTCATTAACCACTTTGAGACGAAAGACTTTAATAAATTTCATAGTTAGCAAATTACATTAACGGTACCAATTTTTCTGCACCACATGCGCATTTCGACAACAAATATCTCTTCAGTGATGCTAGAGGCAATAAGATTTGAAAGGATTTGAAAATCATAAATAAGTATAGCCAAAGTCGGGCAAGGAATTTCAGCTTTGCATAAGGGAGAATCAGAGCTTTGCATGAATGTATAATTCTTGTTAATGAAAATGATGATTGGAAATAATTTCATTTGTGACAATTAAAACTAACTAATGTACCTGGTATCATCAAAACAGCTGATCTTCGTTTTTGGTAACATACTGCACATGGCACTTCCTTGTTGTGCATTCTTTCTGACCACCCTAATGGTTTGTGTGAATAATACAGTTCATATTCACCTCCATATACCTGGTTATTGTTATATGATTGATGCTGTCCATTTTCTGGATCATTCGGGAGACATAAATAGTTCACACCACCTCCTTTACTTTCATGGTCATTCCCACCGACTTGGCCTTAAATTAAAAAAATGTGTTCAATGATGACATTATAATGATGCCAGGAAACTGGAGTAATTAATCATATAAAAATATGTACAATATGTTAAATCTTGATGTTGATTTCTTAAATGTTTTTCTGTGGTTTCATTAAGTTTTTGTTTATGTAATTTAGAATAGTATCATACATTACTAAAGAATATGTTTAAAAGCACTTATGATGACTTCTAATGTACGATTGTTGCAAAGAATAATAATGTTGATCAACGTATATAGTACCAAGTAATTATATCGTTAATGTAACATTAATATAAGTTTAATTTTTTTATCACCTGTATACACTATTTCAGATCCTTTTGGGCATTCTTTTTTTCCCCAACGCACAAAAGTCACTCCTGCAATCATAAACACGTCAAGTTGTCAAGTCAAGTAATCAAAAGCAAATTTAAAAAGCTATACTTGATGATGTTTTACATTTGAAACGATTGCTAAAAAATGACTATGATAAATTATTGTTCAATGTACCATATCATAATATTGATCAATGCAGGGTGCTACTTTTTTGTCTGGTAATTGTTATTTCCTTTGGTAAAATAATTATTTTAATCATATATCATCACAAATAGATATAAGAAGTATGGTATGAGTGCCAATGAGACAACTCTCCATCCAAGTCACAATTTGTAAAAGTAAACCATTATAGGTCAAAGTACGGCCTTCAACACGGAGCCTTGGCTCACAACGAACAGCAAGCTATAAAGGGCCCCAAAAATGACTAGTGTAAAACCATTAAACAGGAAAACAAACGGTCTAATCTATATAAAAAACGAGAAACGAGAAACACTTATGAACCACATCAACAAACGACAACCACTGAACATCAGGTTCCTGACTTAGGACAGGTGCAATTTCATGTAAATGTTCATCATGTTGTGTCATCTGTACCATTATTTGTCTGTTTGTCTTTTTATTTTTGGCCATGGCGTTGTCAGTTTGTTTTCGATCTATGAGTTTGATTGTCCCTCTGGTATCTTTCGTCCCTCTTTTACATAATATACGAATATGCTGCGTTAACCATGGACGAAAATTACATTAGTGTGTTGTATACATATATTTCAAATATAATTGGTTTAAACTTTGGAATTTGTTGTAGACCTTTCCCTTTTCAAATCAAAATGGGCACATAATTTAAAAACCTGTATTTGATGTTTTTCTTTGACATTCCTCTATTCTTGACGTACGTAAGTATTGTTTCATCATATCTATCAGTGACTGGTCTGATGCCAACAGAACATAGTCCTTACATTCATGGTTTATGACAACAACAACAACAGTTGCTAGCACTATTGTCACCAATGGTAAACACATTCTTCTACAAATAAAGTTAGATACAAATAATTACTACGATTCTTATAACTAAAAGAAAAGACTTCTAATTTATATCAATATCAAAACATTTTGGGAAAATAACTCACTGATTTTCATCTTAGCCAAGCTGCAATTTCGGCTTGCCTTTTCCAATTTTTTGGGATGGTGTTTTTTTTTTTTTTTTATTTGGAGGAGTTTTGATTTTGTACTGAAAGAGCTGTTAACGTGTTTACCTTTATGTGTATCAAAACCGTTCCGCATTAACGAGATGAATATACCGGATGTATCTAATAGAAAATAATGGTGTCTTTTTGTTAGTTTGTATCAGCTGAAACAAAGCCTTTGGTCAATGGTGAACTGTAATTAATGACTGGTAGGTAAATAGTTATATACATTGCATTCAGATGGTTTCAAGTAAATATAATTTTAACTTGAGTTAAAAGTTAATCAAAAACATATTAACATACCTTTTCGTATTCCGTGTGGAAATGATTATGTCAACGAGTGTTGCAAACTGTTGCTTTGTTATTCTATTTTCGAAAAAAAGAATAATGAGGTATTTGCGTGATTATATATTGACTTTTTCTCATAAACATGTATATGTATTTCAACCAAAATATTTCAAAGTCAAACATACAATATAAAAATAAGAAGATGTGGTATGATAGCCAATGAGACAACTCTCCACAAAAAACAAAATGACACAGACATTAACAACTGTAGGTCACCGTACGGCCTTCAACAATGAGCAAAGCCCATGCCATATTATGACCATATTTGATTGTGGGAACCTCTTTCTTTCATTTTCGAATAAGATACTAGGACTTAAATATTAAAATAGACGGAAGTGCTATATTCGCTGATCAATAACAGCAGCCCATAATATTTCATTTAAATTTCAGATGCAAATTTATATGTAACTATTGCTGTGTTTGTCGAAAAGAAGCAAAACATTAGCGTAAGAATAAGGCATATTACAGAAATGTGTAAAGGAGTGAGACCGGGTAATGTTAGTTAGTTATTACAGAAGGGCTAGTTTTAGGTTTAGGTATGGATTATTGTTTGGGTTAGATTAAGTTTTGTATCAAGTAAAATAAAAAAAATACCGAACTCCATGGAAAATTCAAATCGAAAAGTCCCTTATCAAATGACAAAATCAAAAGCTCAAACACATCAAACGAATGAAAAACAACTGTCATATTCCTGACTTGGTTCAGGCATATACTAACGTAGAAAATGGTGGATTAAACCTGGTTTTAAAGCTAGCTAAACCTCTCTCTTGTATGACAGTCGCATAAAATTTAATTATATTGACAACAATGTGTGAACAAAACAAACAGATATAATAGGTAAAATTGTCAAAAATGAGGGTATGGTAGTCAACGTTGTGTTATAATCTTAATCACTATAAAGACAAACAAATATGTCAACAAAGAAAAACAAAATGGCGTATAGACAAAGCACATAAGCAAAAATGAAAGACAAGAATACAAAAAATGACCACAACACAACAACACAATGGTGGGATGCATAAGTATCGAGCCACATCAAAGGGATATTGCCAAAAATGGACTAAACAGTAAAGGTTAATAATTTACAAAGACAAATAAAAGAACACTATAACAAGTAATTAAGATGACAAACAACGTCAGTGCCTATAATCTATATTTCAAGAACATCATGTATTATTTGTGAAGTTAAAACGGAATATTTATCAACAAGGTCTTGGTATCTTCCGATGAACTTTTTTTAGAAAAAGGACGAGACGTTTTTTGACATAACCCTGGTTCAGCAACCTTCTGCTCAGACACTTGTGACGTTTTATAAAGTCAGAGTAGCAGCTGCAAGCTTTTGAATACCGAATGAGTTGGGAAATGTATATCCCATATGCATGTGAAGTTGGTATATTGCTACTAAGGTGGGGGAAATTGATAGTTTCAAAATTAAAATCGTCTCGTTTGTCATAGATTCTGGTACTGAGATGACCGCTCATGTCAAATTCGATGTATAAGTCTAAAATGAGGCGGAGGAAGCCGTGTCTGTTGTTTCTTTAATTTCTAGTTCTGGAGGATATATTAATGGAACCCAATCAGAACAGTTTTGATTGTTAATGAAAAGAACATCATCAATATATCTGAATGTGAAATTAAATGATCTGGCTTCTTTTGTTTTTGACAAGTGCCTAAAGGAACTCCAACTCATATATAAATATGAAGAGGTCGACAAGGAGAGGCGCACAGTTCGTTCCCATAGGAGTGTCGACAATTTGTTGAAAAAGTCTACCTCCAAATTCAACCAATATGTTGTCAATAAGAAACTCCTGCATACTGATCACTTGTTCCTCTGTGTAGCATGTTTAACCTTTTTGTTTACTATTATGTACTATGTATAGTATCCCAAACTAATAAATGTATACCGTATGCTATCATTTTTATATTGAAAAGCTTTGTGGATTATTTCTTTTTTCACATGGGGAATGGTGGTATACAGGGTTGAAAAATCAAACGTTTTGATACAATTAATTTCAGAAAAAGATCGAGATTTAGAATTATCCAGAAGATCTTTAGAGATTTTTTTAAAATCCACATATGGTTTAAACCACTACGCGAGTAAACAGTTTCACAGTATTTATGTATTGTTCTATAAGGATTTGGATCCCATTAGGAAAATACCTCCAAAAAATGATGCATTTATTTTAATTTGTCGTGTTACTTAGTATCTGAAAATAAATGGGAAAACTATTTATAATGTGTCCTTTCTTAAATATTATTTATACAGTAGAATGAGCTACATTTTTCTTTCATTATAATGTAATTTACAACCTAATGCAATGCATGTGGCTGTGATTTTTTTTTTATTTTACAGCTCTTCAACATACGTTTGTATTAGTGTTTAATTAGCTGCGAAACTATTTTTGTTCTTTTGGTATTTGTTTTTAATTCTGTTGATATTAATTTCCAAAGTGAACACACTAACCGACTATCTGTGTTTAAACAATATTTTCTGAGAGTAAGCCTTTCTAGCAACAGGTAAGCGGGAACTTTATGTCGGCGATAACCTCCTCAACCTCCCATCATTTCATTACATTCAGATGCAATAATTTTACCTTCTTCACTATTAAAAGTTCACAAAGTTTGTCCATTTTGTTGTCTAACTCTCCCGCAATTATCATATATCTACAACTCTCTGTTCAAAGGAGTGTTTCCTTATCTCAGGGAGAACAGGCTTGACAAAAATATGTTTGACTTACAACCCTAAAATCAGTCTTTCATAGAAATTTCTTTAAATTTATATGGCTTGTTAAGCATCGTCATCAATACAAATTCAGTGTTAAAAAATGTTGGTGACTCACAAGCCGGAAAATCAGACTGTCATCAAATATGCTTTTACTTTATTTAACTTGTGAGGCGGCTGTTGTGGATTGTTTCTGGCCAGATAACATTTTACTAGACTAGGTTATTTGGCTTGTGAATGGTTTAAATGGTATAGGTCAGAGAGGTTTTCTACCCCTAACACGGGAACGCCGCCCTTCATTCAGTTCAAGAAATTTAGTTGAAAATTTAAATGGAGTTGTTCAGGAAGGGAATAGTCACAACTAACGCACTCAAATAGTACATAAGTGTTTAGCGTGTCATTTTGAAAATTGGTCAATTAATGACAAAAAGGGTAAGGGAATTTTAAAGACCAATATTGGCATATAATGTCAGTAAAAGTATTTCGAATAAGTTCATTTTGCACCATGTTTAGTCTCTGAATCTTTATAAATGATGGCAATGAACTCATCATGGATACCCGCATTAAAATTGTGTACACCAGACGCGCGTCTCGTCTCTGAAAGACTCACCAGTGACTCTCGAAACGAAAAGGTCAAATAAAGTACGAAGTTGAAGATCTAGAGCATTGAGGATATAACATTCCGAAAGTTTTGCCAAATACTGCTACGGTGATCTACAATCTGAACCTGGAGAAGAACATTCTTAGTATTTCCAAAAGCTCAAACTTTTGTAAACAGTTAATTCATAAGTATGTCCATATCAATGATCATTCATGTAAACACAGACGTGCTGACTACTGGACTAGTGATACACACGGGGAGAAAACCGCCACCAGCAGTGACATCGAACAAGTGGTTGTAAATAAACTCTAATCATTGATACCAGGATTAAAATGTTATACGCCAGATGCCCTTCTTGTCTACAAAAGACAAATCAGTAACGCTCGAATGAAAAATAATGTCAAAAAGGTCAATAAAGTACGAAGTAAAAGAGCATTGGGGACCAAAATTTCCGAAGGGTTTTGCCAAATACAGCTAAGGTTATCTATTCCCGGGGTACAAAATTCTTAATATTTCGAACCTAGAGACTCTAAAGAGCCTGTGCCGCTCACCTAGGTCTATGTTCATATTCAACAAAGGACACTCTCATTGTAGACGAGAATGAAATTCATGACAAAAATCTCTTTTATGTTGACTTTGTAATGCTGATCTATTTGTATATTTAGTTTCTCTCTATCTTCTTTAGTTTTTGCTAAAAAAAAAATAAAAAAATGAAACAAATCCTACGTTAAGGGCAATCACTCCAATAAAGAGTGGCAGTCTTCTAACTATATCGGCAAAATTTGACTTAATAGTAGAATTTGCCTTGCTGATCACTTTTGTTGTTTAAAGTTTCTATTTATCTATCATGTCTATTATAATTTTTATCATATAAGGCAAAACGGAAAACAATTGGTAAAATTTGACAGTAAAGGGCAATACCTCCAATAAGGAGTCGTCGGACAATTTCCTTCATTTGTCTTTATAGAAGATCTTGTCTTGCTGATCATGTTTGCTTATTTAATTTTCTATCTATTATAATTTTTAAGATATAAGGCAAAAACGCAAAAAAAAAAGAAGTCCCCTAACAGTCTTGATGTATTTGGACAATTGGTACATACTGAACATTTCTGCCTTGTCAGATTTTCTTTATTTATTACGGTTTTCAAAATATTAGACGATACTTGCATTTTACCCCTATGTTTTATTTTAGGTCATATCGGCCATCTTGGTTAACAGGCGGACACATTTTGTAAACAAGGTACCTTAATGGTGATTGTGGCCAAGTTTGGTTGAAATTGGGTCAGTAGTTTATTAGGAGAAGATTTTTTAAATTTAAAGGACGACGACGACGGACGACGGACGACAGACGATGAATGCCAAGTGATGAGAAAAGCTCACTTTGCCCTGTGAGCCAGGTGAGCTAAAAATCAATGTTTTGTAAACAGTTTTAAAATTTATAATAATGACCATATCAAGGATTATTCATGTCACAACACAGAGTGCTGACTACTAGCAAATCACACTTAACATCACAAGCTCCTTGATGTAATTAAATGGGTTTTTTTTATTTTGAGGAAAACAACAATTGAGCAATAGGAAAAACGTTTTACTACATTATGTTATTTTTGCCTCAGATTGGTCAAAACCAATAAAACAAATCTTGTTAAATAAGATATCATCATGATTGAAATACTTAAAATTGAAC